GTATGTAAACAAAGGCACCGCGCATGCACGTTTTACCCATATTCTATCGCCATATTTCATTTTCTTATCGTTGCCCGACATCATACCGGTGTTACCGTGAACGGTATGATATGGCCCAGCACTAGTCTCAGCCGACAGCAACACAAAACCTGCTGCTGAAGTCAGGCGCTCTTAGATAAACCGTGTTACCGCCACGCACCGAACGACTGCGCGGAAACACTCCCGGCGTGAAACGTGCTGACATCTGTGAGTGTCACACCACGGTTCCAAAAACAAGAAGCGAAATCTGCGTCAGCTGCTTTTAAGCTGACTTTTTAAAAGTGTCGCTGCGTCAGTGAATCAAGCAGATATTCAAACACAGCAAAACAAAAGCACACTCATTTTCTCCCATCAGCAGGGGGCGGAGACTATTCCACCTGGCGTCGTACTCACACAGGTGGTAAACACATTCATGTGTGTGACTTGAATCCTTTTGTGTCCTGACCTGTGTGCACCGGAGTGAGGACGCTTTTATTGCTCTCAGAGCTGCATGGCAACCACTGGTTGCTAGGGAGAAATGTATATCTGTTGCTTTTGTGCAGCGATATGGCAAAAGTTACCGACAGTTTCACTGAGAGCAGTTAGCGAATGTTTGGAGACACGTCTGCGATCTGTTCAGGACCACTCACTCTGGTGCAGCGCTCTCTCTGCATCTGACCTCTGACCTCCAGCAGCCAGTCGAGGAACGTGCCGTGGTGTCTGCAGGCCGCTGCATGTACCACACGTGTGCAGGTGCAATGATGACCAAACGAGTCTGTGACTTCCTGGTTACAGGAGACGGGGATGAGGTCGCTTTGGTGCTTTTAATGTGGAGGTTCTGTCTTAGCTGAAGTGTGACTCCACACTCACATCCAGTCTGTGGCTCCGGGCTCGGCGGCTTCTACATCACAAACTTTAGACACAGAATTTAACAGCAAAACAGGAAGTGGAGGTTCGTTTGTTGGGGACTGTTTTCAGGACGGATGAATGCATATTAGCAGCCGGACGGTGAGGAGCGGGATGGATTGGTTAGCCGTGCTCCGTGGTGCGAGGGAACCAGTCGCTGTGTTTGTGTGTGACCTCTCTGTGACTGGATCTTCCTCATCCAGCAGCTCTTCAGGAAGCTGCAGAACGGGAAGTGAAAGTATTGTGGCGCGGTCAGTTTGGCTGTCGTTAGCAGATCTCAGAGCTGCTGTTGCAACAGCTCAGTGAGGTGTTCGGTGGGAGGACGACGCCTGCATCCGGCCCCGGGAGTCTGGAGGGAGCTGGCGCGGGTGGGTGCTGGGCAGAAAGAGGATGTGCGGTCAGATCTTTGTGAAACCTTCCTGCAAAATAAACTGAAAGCCACAGACTGAAGGAGGCCCAGGTTAATGTTTTTCCATGTGGGCTCCACCAGAGCAGCTTTGCATGAGTCACAGCTCAAAATAATCCATGTTTATGTCCATACTCAGCCTCTGTCCATCTAAACTTCTGATTGGCTGCCCCTCATAACTGCAGGTTTGAAAACCAGTATGTAGCATTGCGTTACACTTAACCCCAGTCACCACATGCATGTGCCGTCTGCCTCCAGCCTGTTCATCCACAGAGGTGTAGTTACAACAGCTGAGTGTTTGGGTGGATGTAGACCACTGCAGGCGGAGGACGCTGTGTTTCTGTTCCCCTCAGCTGTGAGAGTTTCGAACAGTCTCTGACATTAATCCGTTTTGGGCATAAATCCTATAAGTCGTTTAGATCCTCGTCATGTTGTCTTTGTTTTAATCATGTTAGAAAAATATAAAAACCTCTGAAAGTTGAGAATCGCCAACAAACACACACGTGCGCCTCCTGGTCGTCTGAAGGTTAAAGCAGCGCGTTTGCTGTTGTCCAGCTCCAATCCCTGCCTCTCCAGGTGCTTTCACAATAAAAGCTTTCCACTGTCTCAGTGCTAAATAAGTTTATTGTGAAGCAGACAGGAAGTCCCGGTGAGTTTTTAACAGCAGCTTCACTGTAGACTCGTGCGGGATTCCCACTGTGACTTCCTGTGGTGAGTTTAACCCCAGTCAGCTGATTCGCGCCGGGTCACGTCTCACCTGTCCGTGCTGAACAGGAAGTCTTTCGGGGTGATTTCAGGGTGTGCACGCTGGCCTGTGTAGGTTTCTAAAACCCAGCGTTTAATGAGTGACGCGTTTGTAACGTTCAGTGTTTTCATTACTGCAACGCCATCAGACGTCTGCTTTTACAGCAAGATGAAAGGACAAGAAGAGCTGCTGTTTTTCACACGAGCGACCGCAGAGGCGCAGCCGGGTGTCGATGCAGCTACTGCAGCTGTTTAAAGCGTTGATGAAAGAGGAGCATAAAGAACAAAACACGTCTGAGACACTGAGAGGAGCTGGACTCTTTGTAGTGAGGCTTAGTGGAGCGCAAAGCTCTGAAACGAGCAAAGGCACTGAACGCTGCTTCACCTTTGACCCCGTTAAAGCGTAACAGGAGGGACCATCAAGGTGACCTGAGCAGTTTGTCATGTTTCAGGATCTTTGTGGGACAAAAGGACTCTGTGTGCATCACATTCAGTGAGTGCAGCTTCACCGCAGGCCTCGAATCAGAGCAAACTTCGACTTTCTGTTCCAGGTGACCTCAATTTCATGCGAGTTTCCAACCCTAAGACCTCAGATTTGTTTTTGAGGTTGTACATCGACGGTGAGACGAAGCTGTCAGCGTGGAGTTCCACATTACCGCCCCAGGGCGAGAGCGTTTTCGCCCGCCCTGTTCTGCAGAGTCGCCTCTTTGTGTTCCCTAAAGTAAACCAGCTTGGACACGTGGAGGAGATCCAGCGCCAGTGACGGACACACGGTCTTCTACAGACATAAACACAGCAGAGGTGCACGAGAAGGTTTTTGATTTCCACGCTGCTCCCACTCGCTGCCTTTCTGATTTGACTTGGAGATTAATGTTAACAGCACGGTGGCGGCAGCCTGACTGATGACAGCGATGCTGGAATTCAATCTTTGCATATTTATGTTCGTATAGTTCCATGTAGTGAGGGAAGTGAGAGCAGATCACTCAGCACGTGCAGGATGTTGGTGACGGGCACAAACACAGTGGCAGTATTTACAGAAACACTCAAAAGTCACTCAGATTCTCTCACGTTTCACGTTTTCTGCTCCTCGAATGAAGAAACATGCATCCCTAAAAGTGTTCTGGTGGTACAGAACATGTAATCAGATTACTGAAGGAGAATGAGTCATGTTGGTGTTGCTGACTGAAGGATAAAAGTATCGGCGCCGCTCTCGGCCCGCTGACGTCAGGCGGTCTGCTGCTAGCTCTGTGGTTCTGGGTTCGTCTGTCTGAAGAAAAGCACAAAGCCTTTTTACAAGCTGAGGCTCACTTTAACATGGAATATTCCTCCAGTTAAACTCGCCGCTGTAACGGAGACAGAGGCTGGCGTTCGGTTTAACCACGAGGACAAACACGCGACAGCGAGAGGAAAGTATCCCTGCACACGTGCACAGACGCTGGTTTGTTCCTCCTGGTTCCTGATGATCCCGACTTTGGATCCTGGTGCTTATCTGTCGGCGTGACGATCTCCTGGGTCTGGACGAGCGACGACTCTACTCTCAGCTCTGTCTTTATGCTCATTTTGCAGCTTTACTCGTGATTTTATTCTTTCACGAACTACCTCATGACCACGGGTGAGCGTTGGAACGTAGACGTGCTCTCAGTCATCTCATGTCCCACCTTCCAACCACCGTGAGCTCAGAGGGAGGGCTCTGCAGAGAGCCTCAGGCCTGAAGCTGCCGTCTCGTCCCAGCTGCTCCACACTCGCCTACGAACCCGGAGGTTGTGGTGTGAAGAAGCCGACGGGACGGCGTCACCTACAGAAAGGAGGTGTGCAGCTCTGACACGCTCCTCGAACGTTTCAGAAGGAGGAAATCTGGCAGGCTTGGACTTTCTCGAGAGTGCATTCGACACATCGTGTACTTCCATCTGGACCAATCAGAGCACACTAGTGTCATTTCTTAAGGTTTCTGTCCTGATAAGTGGTCAGAGAGTTGGTGTGGTCCTGACTTCCTCCTTCAGCGGTTACAGGAAGCTCCTCCTGCACTGCGCTGCTCTCTGAGTCATTTAAAGGTCTGTTTACATTCACAACACGAGTATTTCTTTATAAAAACAAAGTCGAGTGTTTGGAGCCTGGAAGAGCTCAACCACAAATCCCTCCATGTTTGTAGTCCAAACATCCCCCCCCTCCCCAGGCTCGCACTGCCTGCTCTTTCAGGTCCCCAAACTCGGGGGGTCTGAGGGGTGAAGCGCTCCTATCGACTCCTGCTGGGTGACGGTCTCGTGGTCTCGCCGCTGTGGTGGTTCAGATGTGCTCGTCCCTGCGATGGCTGCTGGTGTGGAGCAATCGCTGTTGTTGCCGCCCACACAGAGCTGAGCGGTCGGAGCGGTTCGACCACAACTTCTAATGAAATGCAGCAGAGCCGGCGCCTTTGTGTCGTCACGCCTGAAACTGCCAGCAGCCGCTCAGACTGGAGACGTCACATTTCATCAAATAAGCTGCCGTCGTCTCAGACAAGAGGACGAATACACGGGGCAGCAGCTGACAGAGGCTGGAGGTCTGTTTCCTACAGGAAGAGGAAGTGGTGACTGTCGGGTCAGTTTCTCCCCGTGTGTCGTAGTTGCAGCGTTTGAGGCCGGGAGCAGACGTGCAGAATAAAACTGACGAATCAAAGGAGCGTTTTTGGCGCCTGGTGAATAAGTGAGCTGCTGAAGAAGCTTTCAGCGGGAAAAGTGAAACAAAATAACATTTTATGCAATTATTTCTTCATAATCATGGAAAAGTCTGACAAAATATGAGAATAATCATTATTGTTATCATGTCAAACTGCAGCCCACTGTGGTCCTGAGTGGGCCGGTCCACTGAAACGACACGTTTTATTGTAAGACTCAGGTTTAACTTGGTGAACCTGCAGGTCCATCTCTGCACAGCGCCGTCCTGAGTAGGTGGGCGGCCGTGGTTTCACAGGCCGTGACAGATTCACAGTAGTGTTCACAGGTCGGGCTCTGCTTTAGGAGAACATCTCGCTTTAACACGCCGACCGTTTGATGTATGAAGCCAACAGGAGTGGTCCAGGAGCCACCCTGACTTGTATTTCTATTCTGTGCTGACTTCCTGTTTCTCCCTCAGGTGCTGTCCTTCATTGCCTTCATCCTGGAGGAGACGGTGGACAGCTGCTTCACCTGCTCTCCTCTCTACTTCTTTGAGTTCGTCAGCTGCACGGCCTTCCTCTTCACCCTGCTGCTGCTCGTCCTCCTTTCTACTAAGCTGCATGAAAAGATTCACATCGAGGCCTGGCCCACTGTGGTAAGAACCTGGAGATTGTGTTTCAGTCGCTCTTCTCCACTCTCGTGAGAAAGGTCACTGAGCTTCTGAATCTGAACAGAGTTCATGTCTGGCTTTATTTAGAGTCACTTCCTCTTTCAGAGCACAGTCTTTGTTCAAGCCCACTCCAAACTACAATAACGACCCGACCGGCAGTCATTAGAGGAGCAGGTCACTACATACTAGAGATGGCACGATACCACTTTTTTATGTCCGATACCGATATCATAAATTTGGATATCTGCCGATACCGATATGAATCCGATATAGTGTTTTTTAACCAACAAAACTGTTTTTTAATATCTTGCTGCATTTTGTATAAGTTCATACTCAAGTTTAAAACAACAACTACACTAAAGCTATTCTGTTATACTGTATACAAAAAAATATTTCATAGTTCAGCAATACTGATCAATCTAATAAACTTAAACCTACACCATCCTCCCTATTCTGGTATTTTAAAGAGTACTTAGTGTAAATATTAAGCAACCTAACTAATAGGGTTCCAACTCCCAGCAACAACAAAAATAAATAAATAAAAAATA